GCAGATTGCAGGGCCGTGCGGAAGTGCCGGTGGCGGGCGCGCGCTCGAGGCAGCGCATTCCGGGGACTCCTAAAGGAGTCCTGGGGGTAGTGAGCTGGAGGCGAGGAAAGGCGTGCAGCAGACACTGGAGAATTCTGCGAGGATTCCAATGGGAGCGGGATGGGGGTTCCTAGCAGGGATGGCGCACGTGCCTCCTTTCCGAGTTGCAGGAGCAAGTCTCCTGGACTCTGTGGGTCGCACACGCAGGGTCGGAGAGAACCCCGGTGGGGCTCAGGAGGGCCCAGCGTCTGCAGACTGAGTCGCAACCCCTGCCTTCTGCTCACAGGCTTGCTTCTGGGGCTAGCATTGGGTGGAATGAGCAGCCCTTACAGGAAGTCCAAGCTTAGTGACCAGGGGAAGGCTTGGGAGTGGGCCTGGGCAGCAGTATCCAATCTTGGCCCAGGGGCTCCTGACACCTTAGAGACGATTCACTCGGACCCTGCCAAGTGGGTGTTGGGACAGCTAGGTCACCCATGCACGATGCCCAGGGGAGATGGGACCCAAGGCAATCAGGTCATGAGGTGGCCCAGGGTGGGTGCTCTGAGAGGGAGGAGCCCAGTGGCCACAACTCTCTCCCTTAGGTCCCTGAGGAGCAGGGCTGTGGTGCCCATTTGGGCCTGGGGACCTTGTCTGGGTCGGGCCTTGCACTGCCTACCCCAGCATGGCTCCCCCGATGTGGGCAGTGCAGGGACACATAACTCCGCCCAGATCCCCTGGGCACTGTCTGCCCCTTGGGGACCTGCTGGTGGCAGCAGGAGCCTCTCACCTGCTTGAGGGGTTGTAGAGCCAGCATGTTTTTCGGGGGGGGGGGTGGCACAGAGGGGCACAGGCTGCCCGCCACGCTGCCACAGCTCCCGCTGACCCCCAGGCGTCCCCGATCGAGTGAGCATGGCCGAGCAGGAGCCCACCGCGGAGCAGCTGGCACAGATTGCCGCGGAAAACGAGGAGGATGAGCACTCGGTCAACTACAAGCCACCGGCGCAGAAGAGCATCCAAGAGATCCAGGAACTGGACAAGGATGACGAGAGTCTGCGCAAGTACAAGGAGGCCCTGCTGGGCCGCGTGGCCGTCTCTGCCGACCCCAATGTCCCCAACGTCGTCGTGACCCGCCTGACCCTGGTGTGCAGCACCGCCCCGGGCCCCCTGGAGCTGGACCTGACAGGTAAGTGCCGCGGTTGGCACGTTGGTGCTTCCTCTGCGCACTGGCGCCCTCTGGTGGGGAGCAGAGGTGCAGCCTGGAGAGGGGCGGGGCGTTCCCTGCCAGGCATGTGTCTGTGTACGCTGGGACGTGTGCGTGTCCCCTTGTGTGTGGAGGGACGAGGCCACCACGGGCCTGAGGGGTACAGGGAACCAGCTTACCTCTCCCAGACCCCAGTACAGTGAGCCGTCCGTCCATCTGCAGGAGACCTGGAGAGCTTCAAGAAGCAGTCGTTTGTGCTGAAGGAGGGAGTAGAGTACCGAATAAAGATCTCCTTCCGGGTAAGGGGGCGTGGGGTACCCGGTAAAGGTTTCCTTCCGGGTAAGGGGGAGATGGCACACTGGATAAAGGTGGTCTTCTGGGTAGTGGGGGTGTGGGATGACGAGTAAAGGTCTCCTTCCGGGTAAGAGAGCGGGCCGCCTGGAGGGACAAGCTGCACCGGGCTGACCCAGCCGCCATCCCTCAGGTGAACAGAGAGATCGTGTCCGGTATGAAGTACATCCAGCACACCTACAGGAAAGGCGTCAAGAGTGAGTGCGCACCTGCGGGCTCCGGGGGTGGGGTGGGGCGGGGCGGGGCTCCGGGGGCGGGGCTGACCAGACCCGTGTCCCTGTGGCTGCAGTTGACAAGACCGACTACATGGTGGGGAGCTACGGGCCCCGCGCGGAGGAATACGAGTTCCTGACGCCCATGGAGGAGGCGCCCAAGGGCATGCTGGCACGCGGCAGCTACAATATCAAGTCTCGCTTTACGGACGACGACAAGACAGACCACCTGTCCTGGGAGTGGAACCTCACCATCAAGAAGGAATGGAAAGACTGAGCCTCGGCCGGGAGGCGGGAGGGAGAGATGGAGGGTCGTTCTGTGCCCCCCCCCAGCCCCACCTTCCTCCCGACCCCATACCAAAGTGCTGACAGGGCCCCACGCTGTCCTCTGCAGCCCTGGCCCGGCCCCGACCCCAGCCCCCTCCCGGCCCCCTCCTGCAGGCCCAGCCCCCGCTGTGGCCCCTGTGGTCAGTGTCCCGTTGCTGCTTCTGCCTGTGCTGCGCCCAGATTCCCGCCAGCTGTCTGGCCGGAGGGGGGGCGTGTGCCCTGCGGTGGCCCCGGCTGGCCCCGCCTCTCCCCGGCCCCAGGACTGTCAGTCACCGTGTAACCATAATGCCTTAACATGTGGAGCGTGTGTGGCCCTTGCTAACCTCACCTCAGTGTCTGCATGAGCACGTGGTCCCCATCCTGTCTGTGACCCTGGCACCCACAGGTGTCGGGTGTGCTGCACTCCCGGCCACCAGGGCTGTGGGCATGGCTCTGCGGCTTGGGGGAAGCCAGATTGTGGAAACCTGAGCTGCCCCGGGTTCTGCCCCAGGAGGGCTGGGTGGCCTTCCTGGCTCGTTCCTGTACCCACCTACCACCAACAAACAGCCGTCAGAAAAAGCCAGTGGCCCAGCCTTCCCTGGCCTCCCTGGGCCAGCCAGCCATGGGCCTGGCCTTGCAGTATTTATTGTCTCCATGTGTGCTGTCCTCTGGGCCCACCCTGGCCTGCCCTCTGCCACCTCCACTCCGGCTCTCAGTGCCACCACCCACGGGCAGGCTTCCCTTCCCCCCGGACCCAGCCAGGACAGACAGGGACCAAGCACGGAGTTAGGAGCCAGTCTCCTGTGCCCGCCCCCACCCCCCACCCCCTGCCCCGGTCGTGGTGTTGTGTCTGCCGGGCCCTCGGCCTCTGGGACAGCTGAGGGCCCATCCCTGCTTCCCCCTCTGACCGGGAATAAACTCCCCCGAAGGAGCCAGTGTCCCGTGCTTCCTGTCCACTCGGGATGCTGGGGGGGGGGTAGGAAATGCACTTAAATTTCCGTTTCTCAGTCACTTGTCACCACCCAGGTGCTTGACCGTGATGTGTGTCTGGTGGGTGTTGTGTTGCATTATGAGCATGTGGCACTTTCCATCCCTGCAGGAGGTCATGAATGGTGCAGTTCTGGGCTAGTGAAGCTCAGAAAAGGTTGTGGGGAAGGGGAGTGGGAATGCTACAAATCTCTTGTGGCTACCAGATTAGCATACAGGACCAGATCCTTCCACGGCCCAGTCTGGGAGACACTCCCAGGCCACTGGTCTGTGCTCCTGCCCAAAGGGCCCCAGGTATGAGGCCACTGGGGTCCTCTTCCAGAACCCACACTGCCCCTGCTGGCGAGCTGCAGGGTTGACACTGCTCAGGGCTTCTGGCAAGGGGAGCAAGTGCTCCCCAACTCTGCAGCCCCAGGGTTGGAGAGTTCGGACCTACTCGAAGGCAGTAAGTGGGGTTAATGGGTCCCAAGCAAGCCAGAGCCCGGCCTGTGACTTGGGGTGAGCACTGCTCCCCTTACCCAGTGTTCCTGAGGAAGTCACTGCACTAGGGATTCAGAAGGCAGCCAGCACGATGCCTTGAACCACTGGACCCCCATGTCTTCGAAGGGCAAAGCCAGGTCCAAGGGGAAAGTACGTTAGGGGGGAGAATGGGACACGGGCGCCATCACGTGGCCTCGGGAGCGGCTGGGAGACCGCTGAAGGCCCTCGTGGCGTGCACTTCGCCCATTGCCCAGTGTCGGCCTGGCAGGGTCTGCTCCGGCACCAAGCTGCACCCCGAGGTTCCCAGCATATGTGTGGTGGTGCCAGGGCTGGGTGAGGGAACAAGCGTGGTGGTGCCAGGGCACCCCCTCAGCCCCCTGCCGACCAGACACAGGCTCCGCCCTGAGCCCTCTTGTCACCCGTCTGGTGACACGCATTATTGTGGTGAGCCACCACCCCTCCCTGGTGCTGAGGGGCCCACCTATGCCAAGACAGACAGCCTTCGTGGGGCAGAGCTATCAAGGGACAGCGTGGAGGTGGCCTCCTGCCCTGCTCTGCCATCCCTAATGTGGGCCAGAGAACAGCCCCAGGAAGGAACAGAGACCCCAGCCTTCCCACAACTGTGCTCCCGGCTCCCTGACAAACAGCCACCCCAGAGAGCAGGCTTGTTCCCTCTGCCTCTGCTCACTTCAAGCCCAGTGCCGGTGATACTCCTCAGCACTCGCGTTCACTGGGTGAGGCTTCACCAGGCCAACAGGTCTCTGGAGTTTTGCTCTCGGGTTTTTCCAGTTTCAGTGAGACAAGTGAACTCAGACCTTGAGTGCCAAGCTGTACCGGCACGCTGCCAAAAGCCAGGACTTTGTCCCGGGCTCGCCCCTGGCACCTGAGCAGTGTACATGACGTGGCCCTAGTCCCAAGTCCAACTGACCCACCCAGCCTGGTCTGTGGCTGGCCTCCCATCCCTTGGCCTCGGCTGGACCCACCCACCTCCTCCCCCCACCCCCAGCTTCCTCCTCCCCCTCAGCCCCTCCACAGGCCCAGTCACAGGGTCTTCAATGTGGCTGATTTATCAGCGGTCCCGGGATTAGCAGCCTTCTGGGCGCTCAGCTGTGTGTATCATGCTAACCACCCTGCTTCTCCCGGTGGGTCTGGCCGCATCCCTGGTTTGCCAGGCAAGGCTGCTTGAAGGGGGAACCTCCAGGCTCGGCCTATCCAGCTCCAGCCCCCCACCCCACCCCGGCCACTAAACACAGGGTCAATAGACATGGTCTTGCTTGGAACTCAGTTTTGGGAGCGGGGTTCATGAGAACATCTGATTCTTCTGGGTGCCTTCTCAAGCATGGGGCACCCTGAGCAGCTGGGACATTGCAAAGACCCAGCATGGGTCCCCATGGCACCCAAACCCCAGACCTCACCCAGGACCACTCCATTCCACCCTCAAGAGGCATGGGGAAGCCGTCAGCACCCGGGGCTGCCAGGGCTACAGAGGCAGTCAGCCACCAGCACCGAGGAAATAGAGGATGTCCCATGCGTGCCTCAGAGCAGGTCTCTGCAAAGTCCCAGCCTGGTGTGGCCGTGCCTGCACCTGCACCATTGGTGTGAAGGCCAACTGAGACAGAGCGTCCACGAGTGAGCGTGCTGGGCGGGCACCCCGGGTCCCAAAGCATGCCCACCTGACTGTGGCCCACAGAGGCTGCAGGGCCTTGTCAACAGCCCTACCAGCCCCTGCCAGCTGCCTGGAGATGTCCCACCCACACCGTGCTCAGCTTCTGCCACCCAGCCAGGCTCAGCCGTACACGGTGCCCAGACCCCTCTGGTCGTGTCTGGGTGCCCTCCTCTTGCGGCTGTTGTGCTGCCCTTCTGTGAACATCCACCCCCTACCAATGCATCACTGTGCTGCTGTGGGGCCACACTGCCTGCAAACCATCCACATTGCAGAAACTCCGACTCCTCCACTTGCCCGACACGTCACCACCGCCAGCCCCACCATGTGCCATCTAAGCTGACCATGGGGACCTCACACCTACAGGTGGCACAAATGTCCTTTGCCTTGGGGCCCCAAACTGTGGTTTGCAACCAGGGTTGTGACAGTCACACAAACGTTGGGAGATAGGGCAACCGGCGTGAAGCAATCCTGGCCGGCCTTGGAGCAGTGACTGCTGCAACAGTGGTCAGGCACGGCATGCTGAGCCCCTCACCAGGGCCCTGGTCTTGGCTGAGAGGTCCAAGGGCTGTCAAACACCCACGTCAGGCAGACAGGCAGGTACAACCAATACTTGACTGACCCTTGCTCTCCTGGCCCCAGGGGAAGAGGGGGCAGAGGATGTGCTCTTGGCCTCAAGGAATTCATTCTCAGTGAGGAAAAGACGAGAAAGCAAGCTTCGATGGCAGGGTAACAACGAACCTAGTCTCCAAGTGTGCAGGCGTCATCTTCTCTTACCATTTCTGAATCAGAATGTTCTCAGCCAACATGGACGTGAAACCTGCGAGTGTTTCTCTTTCCTGCCAAGTTCTTGCATCAAAGCTGAGCCTAAAGGGCTGTGGCATAATTGAGCAAAGTGCATGCAAATGGAGAGGGAGAATCCCCGGAGAAGGGGGAGAGGAGGGCAGAAGGCAGGCAGGTAGTGGAGGTGGAAGGCTTTGAACTCTCCAACAGAACTGTAACAGGAACCTCCTGTCATTTCAAATCGTCTAGTAATACACTGAAAACAAAAACAAGTGAATTACAGATTTACTTAACCCGATGTATACACAGTATCACTCCAACAAGAACTCTGTTTAACAAATCATCAATACAGCACTTCTTTCTGCTGTCTGTATCCTGCTTGCACTTTCACTCAGGACTTTCTATTTCCGGCCAGATCCTGCGTGCTCCGCCCCTCTGGCGGCCAGTGACAGGGCAGGGCTGGAGGAAGACGAACCGCCTGAGATGCACTTCTCGGCCAGCACACCGGAGAAGCATTCCAGGCAGCGAGTGGGACAGGAGGGAGAGAGAAAGGCAGGAAAGGCCACTCCCTGGAGGCCTTTTACCCAGGACAGCATCAACTCAACGCCACTGAGTGGCCCCTAGGAGGGCCCTTCCAGTGGCCTATGCTGGGTTTCAGCCCTGGACCCCCGCAGATCACCTCAATGTCGGCCCTCCAGCTGTAACAGCCCCAACCTGGCTTCCCAACCTGTCTCCCGCCCGCCACCTGCTCTTCTTGTGAGCTGCCCTCCGCCACGTCCAGCCAGCCCTTCCACCCTAGCCCTGGGGCCCCTGGGTTGTGCCCACGGTTAATGCACTCTGCTAACTGAAAGGGGCCTGTTCCCAAAGAATCAGCCAAGAAAACCCTACGGAGCAACGATCTACTCTCCGCCGGCCAGCAACTGGCTAAAAGCGTAATTTCCGAGCCGAGGCGCGACAGCATCTCCCCGTGCCCTGCGGCTGCTCCGGAGGCCGAATCATGCGTTCACCGCGCGGAGCGCGCTTCTCCAGTTTAACGAGGCACCCAGGGCCCGAGGGCAGCACCGAGGTCCGCAACCCCCATGCCGCACAGCAGGACCGCACGAGCGACACGCTCCCGGAAGTTGCTTAACTCCAGCTTCCGGTCCCCGGCCCGGGGGCGGTGACAGTTACGGATACGCGGTCCACTCAGAATCCAACACGAGGGGCTTCGGAGGCGCAGGCGCGGCCCCGCCCCCAAGCTGCGGTCCCGCTCCACTGCCACGTTAGACGGAGGGACGCGCAGGGTGCGCGCATCTCTCGGCCAATCACGAGCCGCAGATCTCGGGCTCCCAAAGGCCACAGCCATTCCCGAAGGGGGGAAGGTGCGGAAGCAAGCCACCAGTCAGAAGTCGCGGGAGAGAAAGTTCTCCGCCGGGAGCCAATGAGAGGCCAAGGAATAGCGCGAGCGCGAGCTCTCCGGCCAATCTTGGAAGAGGGCGACGGCGGCCTCCGGAGCGATTCCGAATCCGGGGCCCGGTCTGGCGGGGCAGCCAATCCAAGCGCGGTGGAGGCGGGCCCCGGGCT